CACCATCAATTCCATCACAATATGAAATTAAAGTGCTTAAAGAAGGAGTGAAAATGCTTTGTCCGTTTGAGCTTGCAACTAAAGAATTTTCAACAGAAAAACATGTCTCAGCTAGTAAAGTTATTCCATTAATAGCTATTTTGGATAAAAAATTAAATAATTTAATGTGCACAACTAAAGAAGCTCAAAATTTATTAAATCAAATGAAAATAGAATTTTATAAACGTTTCCAGAATGTAGAAAAAATTAGTTTATTAGCAGTATCTACAATTTTAGATAATCGATTTAAACGCATTCATTTTCGAGGACCATTAAATGCAGCTAATGCAGTTCAATTTATACATGAAGAGATGAAACGTACCAATACCCTTCATGAAAATTCAAATAATACTGAAATTGAACAAAGTTCTGACACCAGGCCACAACCACAAGTTCTTGAAGACAGCTTATGGGATGACCATGATTTGCATGTTTCGCAGCAAAGTCTTACTAATATAAATGACTCATACTTGCCTTCCATTAAATTATATCTACAATCTAACATTGAAGATCGTACAATATCACCAGTTACATTTTGGGAAAATAGTCATTACAAATGTCTTTCAAATTTGGGACTGAAATATGCATATGTTCTGGCTTCATCTGTACCATCAGAAAGGTTATTTTCTTCGGCTGGTAATATATTAACTGACTGTCGTTCTCGATTGCTATCTAAGAGGTTTGAAAAATTGACGTTTTTATCATCAGTGGATGAAAAATATTGGAATATTTAAACTTTAAAGTTTAAACAGTGAACTAAATATGTAAATATGTAATCTAGAATCTGCTTAACAACTTTTAAGTTTGACGTTGTAATTATTTAATTAATACACAATTTTTAATGTTATATTTGTAAGTTATAAAATTGTATGTGCATTATTTTTTGTTTGATACTTTGATATCAAAATATCGATATTTATGTTTAAAAATATCGATATCAATAAATTGACTTATGATATATCGATATTGATATTATCGATATTTTTTTTCTACAGAACATGCCTAGTATTCGATAACCGTCGTGTGATAGCAGGAGGTGCAAGGTGTATCACTTATTTACTCGTATCAGCTGGAGGCGCTGGAGTCGATTCGGTGAAATTTATTATACTGGATCGCAATTATAGTGGCACACGATTTACTACCTCGTCCTTCACACCAGCCTCGTGGTAATCACTTTTTGCCGCTCAAAGCCGGTGGCGTCGTTAGTCGTTTGTCGTTACGAAACACGTTTTTCTGCGCCCAGTTCGGCCGTAATGCTATTATCCTGTCAGCGCTCTAGCGTCAACCGTGTAAAGCGTAACTTAAAGTTCAGCGTTCCAGCGTCAACCGTTTAAAGCGTATCTTGAAGGTTAGTGCTGAGCTTCCACTGCGATTGTTCAAAGGCAGTACACGTCACATGGTACGTCTTTCATTATTAACAACTCGCCATTACTGCGTCACGTCGTCCGCAGCCGTTGTTCGGCGGCGGAGTAATATTTCAGTATTAGATGTATAATGCTTACATATCCTGTCTATGATAATAGTGATTGGAAATTGAAATCAGCTACTGTAAGAGCAACACTATACTATTGTCTTTCTTCGTCACTGAATCCGTTAGATATGGCTCATTGCTCGAAAACTGTGGCCAACTCTTCTCTAAAATATAAGTCATGCAATGCTTATAAATGTATGTGTCCTTTTAAAGAAAAAAGGAACTACCAAATAGAGTCGTAAGTACTTAATTAATTACATTAATAATAATGCTAATAGTAGTTGCAGGGTTTGAAATCAAAATGAATAATTTTGATTTTAACTTCAATTTCGTTTATCAATATTTGTTTTTTCTGATTAAAGTTGAAAATAGTTTATTGATTTTTTACCTTATGATTTATATATTTCCACATCCATATATTGTCCAATACTGATTTAATTGTATTATGATTTTTATTAGAATTAGAACATCATTTTTCTTATATTTTGATTATTATTATTATTATTATTATTATTTTTTTATTATTATTATTAAGATATTAACTATATATTTTTTCGATTTTAATTTTGATTCCCATTTACAAGAAACCTGTCGTTGTTTGGGCGGTTGTATAGCAGGTCTAAAAAATTAAATATTAATTATTTATTATTACCTACTCATGAACACCATTAGTTGTAGACTTATTGACTATTATTGAGTTTTGAATTTAAATTTTAAATCGGTTTGTATTTTATTTCAAATTATAGGTACATAAATTAACATTTTTTTCAATTTTAATATAGGTAGTCTATTTGCGTCTATTTTAATAGTCTATTGCTGGGTTGCATAAACAATCACTAAACATCAAACGAATCAATAGTGAGCTAATGGTCCTTTAAACATGATTTAGTGGTTATGATTATTCCATTAAATTGTATTGAACCGTTAAATTAATATATTTTTCTTGCAACCTGGTATTTATGTGCCACTTTTTAAAGTCTTATCCTACAGATCCAAATATCCAATGAAAGCATCAACCACATATTGCATGTACATGTAGTAGATCAAATTCAAGTTTTGTATAACATCTATTCTGACATGAATATTCTATTCCATTAATTGAAGGGTTGGTTGGAAAAATGTGCTATGAAGTAATTCGTAAATTATTCAGTAACATCATAAAAAAAAACAAAAAATGTAATTTGAATGCACGTGGCACGGTTCTTACATATTCCATTATTTTTTCTGTGACTACCATTATTTTATTATTTTGTGTAAATATTCATCTATAAATTAAAATGATTTCATAAATACTAATATTAATAAAACTTGGTATTTTATTACTCTTTAAAAATCACATTTTTATTTTTACATATTTCACCATAGCTCACTGAAGTCACTGTATTGTGGAGGCATATACTTTCACATGTCTAAAAGATCTTTATTCTCTTCTTTTGTTAAGGCCACTGGAGATTCATATGCTGGTGGTAAAAATTCAATAGATAAATTATTAGGTTTAAAGTTTTTTTGACGTATTTATACATGTGGTGTCCATGGTTTCAGTGTATTGTGACTTTCATGAATATTTACATGCTTAATGGTATCAGCCGTGAATCTAAACCATTTTGCTTGCGTTATTTTTAGTTGTTTTTTTTGTAATATCTTGCCCTATTGCAGAAAAATCTTTAAAACTATTTTGGAACATTTCTATATGTTTCAGTGTATAAAATTGTTAACACTATATAAAAAACAATTTGAATTCAAATAATAAATACTATCAATATTTTTTTAAATTCTTATAACATAAAAGCCTTTAAATAAAGTTATTCCTAACTATATAAATAAATGTACAAAATATAATATACATAGTATTACTTTTTAGTTTTAAATAACTCGTTTTGACATGCAATTTATAAATTCTACTGAAAACTTATTATTTTTGTAATTTTTACATATTTTATAAAAGGAATTGTATTTAATATTTTACTCAAACAGTTAAAAGTATAAAAATTTATTAGAATTAAAACCAGAAGTCAACATTTTGTGAGTGAAAATTTAAAATAGCATTATAATGAACATTACAAGTAATAATATGCAAATTAAAATTAAAATCAATTTATAAATTTAATATTAAAATAACTGTTTTGTTATAAGTCATAAACCTTATTATTTATTATCTTAAAATATGTTATTATAAGTCAGTACATAAAAAAATAATAAAATAAAATAAATAAATTACATTCACATCGTAGGTATTTAGGTAAAGAAACTCCTTCAATTTCTTTGTAGATTATTCATTTGGCTGAAATATATTATGATAAAACTCTTTGGCATCATCATGAACATTGACAAATCTCATTAAACTTTAAACATGTTTGTGGGTTTGACATGGTTCAACTTGGGACATTTTTCTTTATTATTTATGAAATCATAAGATAGAAGTCTTGATTTACTACATAGACTAGCAAAATTTGGAAAAACATAGTATTCAGTGAGGAAATTATATTTTACTTTTAACTCAAACATTTCTCAATCCTACCAAATACTTTGTCGGGGTTATATAACTGTATTTATTTAATTCAAATGACTATTAAAATAGTATATATAATTTGGGGCTTAATAAATTAACATAGTTCACGTGCTTTGTATTATTATTTTGTTTATATTTAGGTAAAAGTCACACCATATGCATAAGCTTTTATTAACATAATTGTTTTCATATCAACTCAAAGTCTAAATTTAACCTATGTTGACTTGTGTACAATATTACATATTTCCCTTATATTGAATAAACTTAATGTCATAAAAAATGAAATAATTATATAATATTATGTACCTATAGGTACTATGATATTATTATTGTACTTTATATAAAGTGGCATTCATATATATTTTTCTAAGCAGTGGATCATGGGAAATAGTACTGTGCAAAACATGCAGTTTATATGGAACACATAGGGTTTGCAGTTTTATTCATGGTATCCAAGATTGGCGCTGTAAAACATGTAATGCCGTTGCAGGTATGATTTATTATTATTGCTTTATTTTTATATGCAATATCTTATGATAGTGTTTCTCAATCTTTTTGTTATTTTGACCCATCAATTTTCTTTTCTACAAAAAATAATAATTAAAAAAAAATATCAAGTACCCATGGGGTAGTAATATTAATAATAATTTTGTATAATAATGTAATATTAATATAATAATATAATGCAATATTAATTAGGCAATAAATACTGAAATCTGTTGAATACATAGATTATTTTTAAATTCAAATTAGGTTTGTTGGTTTTTATTGTTATTGGTTTATGGCATCAACCCATCATAAATATTTTGTGATTCAATATAAACTACTTTATGATGGTCTCTCTTAAAATCAATAATCAACTAATTGATTACACATGTTTAATAAATCCACGACAAAATGTTTGGGAATGTCCGAATTGAATAAATATTTATTATTACAGTTTTTTGGTGATTTATCTTGTTAGATAAGCTTTGTAAAGAAGACCTTTTTAAATTATTTTATCTTTTTGATTACATAGTCTTTTTAAAATAATATAAGGCAGTGTTAACTGTATGGTAGTCGAAATAACGAAGTTGAGTTTAATGCAAAATTGTATTTTTGATACAACACTGATATGTACCACGTAGTCAATTAATGATTTACATAATCTTATCAGAAAACAAGACATGATGGTATCAAAATATTAAAATGATATTAAATACGATTCTTCTCAAAATTAAAAAAGTTACTAAAAATCATGGTGTTAATGTAAAATGTCGGAAGTCAACATTTTCAGAAAAATAAACCACTATAAACTAACCACTTTTAAGTTAATAAAATAATTATTTTATTCAATTATTTACTGAATAAATATGTTTCACAAATTTAAATCTATGATAATACGTATTTATTATTTTACCGAGTTTGATTTAAATATATTTTTTAAACTATTCAATTATACATTTTAGATAATTTGAATAGTAATGGTGAATCATCAGGAATGTTTAGAGAAATTTTGATGTCTGTAAACAGAAACATGGCCATAAATCACATAGATACCTCTTCAAAGACTGTAAAGCGTAGTTGCAATGTGGAAAAATGTTTGTGTCCTCATAAAGAACAACAAAATTATCAAGAAAAGATGTAAGTGATTGTTTTTAATAATAATAATAATTTTACATCCCATAGTCGAACAGTACCATGTGTAATATATACATGTATAAGTATGTCGGAGTGTGCGCTAAGAGCCAGTTGTACTTATTTAATCAGTATGTTCCTAACTTATCGTCGGCTAAGACGTAATACCTCGTAAGTCAAAAACATTCATTTTTCAGGAGACACATTTTTGTGTTTATAAAAACAATTTTTTTATTTAGTTTAGCCAATGTTTTAAATAATTTGGTAAGACAATGTTTTCCATTAGTCTATAATGTAGTTTTAAATATAATTCCTTTTTAAAATGTTTTTTTTTAGACTTAGGAGGTATTGCATTAAGTATATTGAAAATGGATATTGACATACGAGCTATTATTACTTTATTGTTTTCTAGCTGACTGATTTAACTACATTGTTAAATAAAAATTGTTGGATCAGGGGTTTTTATTTATTAAATCTTTTAATACTTCAGCCTTTTGACTTTATTATTAAAACATAATTATAGGTAACAATCGAGGTATTAAAAAGTAAACATTATTTTAAAACAAAACTCAAATTGTATAGCAACAGTTAAAATATTAAAAATTACCTAAACATTATTTTAAAAGAGAACTAAATTTTTATAGTAACACTCAAACCTTGAATTATAATTATAATAATATAATAACCATACATTATTTTAAAACAGAACTAAAATTTTACAGTAACATTCAGTCCTTGAATTATAGCTATAATGTAATAAAAATACAAAAAAAAAAGTAAAACATTTTAAAGCCTTGTTTTTATATTTTATAACATTAAAAAATAGACATTAATATATTATTATTAATTATAATAGTGCAGTTAAATTAGTTTTAATATTTAATACGATTATAGAACTCAAGACAATCATTAAAAATTACTTTTTTCAGTTGCTGTAAATGTTCCCACTTACTTTTGAGAATTTTCAATTCTTCTGCACGAAGCTGACCATAAATAACAGGAGATGCCATTTTACACATTTTTTTTCTTTTCTTTTGAGCCAATCTGAGATCAGAGTACTCATCATCAAAATTAATTTTAAAATCAATAGTGCCATTTGGATTATATCCAAGTGACTTTATATTTGTAACGTTGGATCTACAGCTGATTTTCCAGGTCTTAATGAGTCATATCTATTTAAATCAATTTGATATTGTTTGAAAAATGATGTATAACACCATTTTACATTATAAGGAAAAGGTTTTTTTCCTAGCACTTAGTGTAATTTGTATATAATCCGAAAGTAAATAAATATCTGCATTCTTCAACTTGCGTTCAATATTTGAATGAACCTGAGTCACACTCCATCTGGGTGTGCCCTTTAGTCAAATATTATCGTTTAATAACAACCTTATTGTTTATGGCAAACTCTAACAGTGCATTTGACAGTACATTATTCCTATTCTGGTAGCAGTAGCCATCACTCCAAAGTATTATATTATTTAGATTTGTATTTTTGTTATGGACTTCGGTAATTTGATCTATAATACAACTCACAAATGATGAAGCTGAAAGGTAACTTTAGGTCTCATCCCACCAATAGCAAGGGGACCCATGTGTTGCCAAATTATGTGTGGTAAAATTATGCACACATAGTTTACTTTTATAATATAGAGCACTTGCTTTAAGATATAGGCAGACTTTAACCGCTTGCAGGTCCATTGTAAACACCAGTATATTTTCATTAAGTAAAGCTTTTTCTTTGTCCAGACATTTTTCTTCTGCACTTCGATTTTTATCTTCAATATGGTCTTTCCATTTTTTTTCACTAATATTATTGGTTTAATATGCACAACAATGTCATAAAATGTGTTTATTCAAACAATATTATTCTCTTTTCCTTCTTTATTACACATCTCAATATACATGTTATACAACTGGGATTTTGATTGTATGTATGGCTCAAGGTAAAGTTAAGAAGTTGATGTCCTACAATAATGAGAAGGTATTTTTGTAATTTGTTCAAGAAATTTATTTACAAATTTTCTATTTTTTTTATCTGGACTATCCCTTAAACATCTTACTTTTGGTGTATTTGGGCTTAGTTCACATTTTTCTCTTGTCGTGCACCAATGATGAACTTGTGACTCACCCAATACAATAGTGTTTAAAAACATTGATTTACATACATTCAAGAGTTCTCCATTAACTTTTAAAAAAATAGGAAAAAGAACTATTTCTTCGTGACACCGTTGAATCAATTTTTCGCTGTTTAACACTAGTTTTTCTTTACTAAGGAAGTAACATAAATCTTTTTTTCTGGCCAGCTAAGATTGGACCAAAAATCAGTGAATACCCTCAACCTGTCATCCTCCAGTATTTCATTACACTTTCGTTTAATAGACCTTTGACAAGATACTTTAGTACATGTAGGGAGCATAGTTTTAGCTTGTCTATTTGTGTTGTGAGAGATTACCTTTTCTTTAGAACCTGTATAGCCTAAATATGATTGTTCTTTCATACGTAATATTTGATTTGAATTTCTTTTCCATTTGTTCGGAATTTTTTCTTATTTCTAATTCTTTTTTCATTTGTATCACCATTGAGTATGTCAATTGAACCATTATTGTCACTCTCAGAATGTAAAAAATCATTGTGTTGATCCATAACACCAGCACTCAGTATAATATTACTTGTACAGTTATACAAATTTTCTGTTTCTTCATTATAAAGTAAGTTTATATTAATAGGGTCAACTATAAAATTACAAAATAAGTTACATTAATTGAATAATGTAATTTAAATATTATAAACTATTATATTACTGAAAACTTACTTTCATTAGGCAAATTATCATCAATATTGTTAGAATTCATACTAATATTATTATTATCTTGGACTATTTCATCCCACTCTGTAAAAAGAAGAAATATAAAGAGATTACTTAGTAACCATAACTACTGTAATTAATTATGATACTATTAATTTATGTTTGGACATAGGCAGAATGCACATTAAAATTAAACTATAATGTTTTTGAAACTTACGTTGATCATCATTATCCAATTCTTTTAGCAGAAAATCAATCTCGTCTTCATCCATTCTTATGAATTATTTTATACAACTTAATAGTTACAAACAAGATAAAGTTATGTAATAAACAAATTACAATATTCAATTAAGTTAAAATGAGAAATTCACACTTCAAACATACTGTGTCATACCTATTTCTATCAAAGTATTATTGATAACTTAGATTTAATAAAATATAATCAGTATTGTCATTGATTATGAACTCTATATTATTTTATAATTACAACTATTTATTATTTCTATTTATAAATTGAAGGTATTGTGGCCACAGAACCGTTTTAATATCTGTTTGCAGTTACCGCGGTATCAGTGCGCCAGCCGACGTAATTAATATTTTGTCCAAGGTGGATATACGATGTATTTCTGACAAAATACTGATAATTGATATACGCGATATTGCGTCCAAGTTTATATTCTCTTCGGAAATTATGAGCTAAACGTGATATTACCATTAAAATATTCCATATTTTTTTCTGTAAATTTCGATGTATATATTCTTAAAATATCATATTTTTTTTTACTTACGAGGTATTACGTCTTAGCCGACGTTATGTGAAATTTACATTAATGTAACTTTTAATTCAAATTAATATCATAATACATTTTCAACTTATTATATCAAATTAACCATATATGTAATTTACTAATATGTAAATTAGTATCTATGTCTGAATATAGACATGCATTCTGAATATCTTAGCACATACTATGTAAATTGTATCAATCAATGCTCATTATTCCAATTTTAATTTCACATCATTTTCCATTACATTGTTGTAAAATTGGATATTAATTAAACATTACAGTGCTATTGTAGAGTGTTTAATTAGTGCTTATACATTAATTATAATGTACACTTCCCCTAAATTATGATCAGAATCTTTAGAATACAGTTCACCCATAGTTATGTCAAAAGAAACATATAGTTATTAAAAGAACAAAATGCTAGCAACAAGAATATTTTAATGTTATCTTATTTGAAGCACTTGACAAATATACAATTATTGAAGGTTCAGAAGGTTCATATTTTATTTTTTAATATTTTAAATTTACTGAGTAATTTATATATTTAAAATATATTATTAAAGTATGTAGTTTATTTAAAGTTTTGTGTATACTGGTTAAGAGTGTGCCAAATTTTTTCATCTCCATACCTTAAAATATGATTTGCAGTTTTAAGAATTTGTGTTTTTGAATTGCAGCAAACGTTAATGACAGCCCATTTTTCTTTCTTAACGGCCCATAAATATTTTATTTTTAACTTACATATTATTATTACAAATGTATAGACTATAGATTACACATACATATATTTATAAATAATTTATTACCATTTATTTATTATGTGCTACCAATATTTTATTTTGATTACGTGGCTTAGAGATTTATTTTTATTAACATAATATGTATCACTTGGGATCAGTTAATGAACGAACAAAGTTCTCATGCATTATTATTTTATTTTAATTTAGTTAAAAGTTATTTCTTAGGCATGAGATTTTATTTATATGATTGTCTGTTTTTAAAACAATTTAAGGTCAAATTTAACCTTTGTTGACATATGTTGATTGAAATATTAAAATTTCCCTTTACATTAAATAATACTTTAATAGCACTTAATAATGTTGTACATAATGCCATAATTTTTTTTAAAAATTTTTTTTAAGCTTCAGCAACTGAGGCCATTAGCTGTAGGTTGTGGTACTGTATGGTTTTGGGACTGTAGGGTTATGGAACACGTGTGTATTTGTTTGGCAGAATTTCTAGTGGGCACCCATAGGTTTCTGCCATGCCCGGGTGGGGGATGGTGGCCTCTCTTCAGACACCGTGACTGCCTGGAGAGAAGTGCTGTGCATGACTGAGGTTTGAACTGGTTTGAACTCGTTGCAACCGATACTATATCCACTAGGCCACTTCGTCCCCTAAATGCCATAATTATATTATATGAATCTTTATAATGATGTTATTATTGTGCTATCAATTAAGTGGCATTAATATTTTTTTTGTTTTCGTAACAGTGGATCATGGGAAATACTACTATGCCACGCATGTGGTATTAATGGAACACATAGAATATGCAGTTTTGTTAAATGTTTTCAAGCATGGTATTGTGTAACATGTCAAGCCAAAAGCAGGCGTTATCATTAAATTATATTATTTTAAATTCATATGATAGCAAAGATAACAGTGTACAGGTAATCATTTTAAATGTTTTCAGCCAATTTCAGGCATGTGTTATTGATATGTATTATATTTTTATTTGTTTTTGTTCATCCATCACATTGTTAATTAGATTTGTTGAGAATTCAAGTTATATAATATGTTTCTTATATATTTTGATTGTATTCTCATTTTCATTTTCTTACTGAATATTTTCTGACAAAAGTTTTGTTCCTATTATTAGTATTACATTTTTAACTATGTATTAAGATTTAATGCTTATAGATTAATAATTAAAAAAAATATAATAGCTACTCAAATACAACTAATATAATATGTTATGTTGTTGCTTATATATTTTGAATGTATTTAATTTTGCTTTTTTTTTTATTGAATATTGTGTGACCAAAGTTTTGTGCATACTATTATATTTTAAATTATGTGTGATCCTTGAAGAAAAAATAAAATACTAAAATGTTACTCATTGAGCATAACATTGTTATATTTTGTATTTCACTGTAATATATGATAAATTGCATTTGTGTGAAAAATCTTAATTTCATCTACCATTTATATAAATATGCTCAGTTTAAACAATCATAGAACATAATAACAAATTATTGTACTGCTGAACCAATTTTGTTTTGATAGCTAAATTAGTACGACAAAAGAGAAACTTCTATATGATTACCTTTTATGCAACATTTACAGACATTAAAGACCGGATTTTTGTGCAGCTAAAATCTAAGAAATGTGCTATTCAAATGTTAAAATGTGCAAAAATGTGCAAAAACAAAATTTTCATTATAGGTACTTCAAAATTAAAATTTTAATAAGTAATAACTAATAACTGACTTTACAATATTTGATTAAAATTTATAATCATGTACATTTCTAAGTTTTTTTCTTTAAAATAATATCTTCTATCACTTAATATATGTTTTAACTGCGAAAATACACCTTCTACGTCGACACTTGTTATCGGGCATTGTTTGTAGCCGCTTTTAATAGCAGGATCTTCTTTTAAATCTACATCATTTCCATTTATTGAATTGTACAGTTTTAAAATAGTATATCTGGGATCTGTTTCAAATACTGATTTGAATTTTTCATATAGTATTTGTCCCTTTTCATTTTCAATTGTCTTAAGTCCATCTCTTACTGTTTCAACTACATTTATTTCATAATTTAAAGTTGAATTTTGTTTTTCCAGTTTTGTGATTGAATTTGGCAACTCAGACAAATGTGATCGAATAAATGTTAAATCAGATATAATTGATGTAGTACTCAAAATGGATTTTACTTTTTGGACAGATTGGGCGTCATCTTCTATATTAGATACCAATTCTTTAAATTTACTGAAATTTTCAGAGTAAAACAAAGCAGCTTCTAACCATATTCCCCACCTTGTTATTACAGGTTCTGGAGGAAGGCGACAGTCCATACAATTTTTATAAGCAGTAATACGATGAGGTGCTTTTAAAAACATTTTTTTCCCATTATTTACTAGTGTATTTATATTCGGGAAAATGTCTCTAACTTGTTCGGCCACACGGTTTAAGCCATGGGCAACACAAATCATATTAGAATAAAATATTTTTAAAGCTCCTCCAGTTTTTATCATATATGGCGCCACATTGCTAATAAACAGCAGAAGTTTGTCTTGAAATAACGTGTCTCCAAAAAATTCCATTAAACTATCATTCACAAATCGAGAAACCGTTTCATAATTGTTTTTTTTCAATTCTTTGCAAGAAATCAGGAATGAAGTAGGCATTATTTCTGGAAGAAGTATCCCAACAATTAAACTGCAAATATACAGCCCTCCAGAATCAGTCGGTTCGTCTACCATAATGTAAATGAAATTGTTCGTTAATTTTTCCCTTATTTTTGTAAGAGTAAATTCAAAACATATTTTTAAGTAATTTTTTCGAAACGTACTTTCATCTGGAATATTCTGATTAACATATTTTTGTAAGAAATTCTTAAATGGTTTATTGAAAGGAATATTTGTGGCTACCAAGGCATGTCTGTTAAAAATTCATTTCGACTAGCCATGGCTGAGGTAGTTTCAGGTAGTAACATTTGTACCGGATTACGCTTATTTTTTTTTAGCAGTAGTCATTTGTTGATGCACAGCTAATAACTACAAGAACAATAAAAAAAAATGTTAATAATTATTATTACAGCAGAAAATTAGTGTTACCGTAGGTACGTACTTGAATTACAGAGTGCATCAACTTTTGATTTAAAATATAATTTTGCCTTCTGTTTTCAATTCTGGATATTTTTCGATCCAACACTTTATTTTAGAACAATATGACTATTAAATTGTATAAAACACAAGTCGACTACGACGACGGCTGCGGATAGACTGTAGTACTGTACATGTAATCGATAATCTATCGACTATCGTAGTACCTTAGACATTATTTTAATTACTTCGTATTATATCATTATATAATATATATAATTATATTGTTGGATATAAAAGTCCAATACTTTGTATAACAACATAATATAGCACCAATAAGCCGACAAAAATAATACAAAAATACAAAAATATTTGTACAAAAGTACATTTTTATAAAAAAAAAACCCGAAATGTGCAATTTTGTGCAACATAAAACTTTTTTCAAATTAATCTACATCTCTTGATTTGGATTTGTAGCTTGTTTCTATTGAATTTAGAACACGCCATAAAGAGATGCAATTGCACGGGAATCCGGTCTTCAACCATAATATAAAAATGCTCGTAACTTAATAATTTCAATTTCGTTAAAAAAATAGTGTGCAGATAATTTTTCTTAAATCTTACCAATCTGGCTTTGAAGTGTGATACAGGGCCTAAAATACATCTGATTTCAGGGGACACACTTATTAATTTAACTGTAACGTTTGGGCTTTGACAGATTTCTATAGAAAAAAAAATATTTTAACCATAACAATACAGCTTCCTTTCGATCATATTCTGACATGGATTTCAAATTTATTTTTAAGTTTAAGCAAATTTTATAGTATTAGGTGACAAGGAAGACCGACCTCACGTTTTTAACACATAATAAGAAAACAAACCTTTTCACATAGGCTGATTGGGGTTTAGCAGCCAACCGTCATCCCTGCAAGAAAAAAAACTTAGTATAGTTGTTTTGTATTTATTCTTTAAATTCTTAAATGTGATTAAAAAAAATATACAGTAGAAATCGGTTTTAACGATTTCAAGGGCCAGCTAGTTTTTCTTGTTATATTTGGTTGCTCGTTATAAACGAATACGGTTTGAACGAGGGTTCGTTACAGGTTAGAAGCAGGAACCCATACAATAAAAAAAACAGACAATTTTATTTTACTAGACTATGTATTTATTATTTATTAATATGTATTAATTATTATTTCAAATTGTAACTTGCTATTGTATATACATACATACTTAAATTATTTATTAGATTTAATATTACATTTTATTCACTTGAATTTAATTTCTTAAAATAATCTTAAATTGAACTTTGCTTCGTAGAATATTTAGTGTTAACTGAATTTTCTAATAAAACCATCACTTTCCTTTCATCATCAGTGTTCTTTCATATTTTGTGTAATACAATTTTTCGAGAGTTCTAGAGCAGCACGAGCTTTAGATATTGATGGTAGAGTTCCAAAGTCGCCATCATCATCATTATCTGGTTCATTACTGGTCATGACATCTTTAATTATATCTTCATCCGTTGCAATTTCTGACGTTGTGATGTCGTCATCAATGTGGATATAGTCGTTGTCGATGTCATTAATTAATTGAAGATCCACAATTAGTGATCGCCGTCGATTTTACATTACCCCGTGCTTTGTTCAGCATATATATATGTAAGTATATAATAGGAAAAAGATAACGACCAGTTCGTTATAAGTTATAACCCAATATTTATTTTTATTATTTAAGTATTTTACTAGTTATAGCCAATAACTCGAAATGGGCGCATGTAAACTCCACAAGTACCTTTTTTTAGTGTAAAATCCGCCAGGAAAAATACAGGTAATATTGGGTTCGTTCATGTAAACTCTGCCAGTAAAGAAAATCAAGTCACAGTATACAATTAATACATAGGACAGGATTTTGGTGACTTTCGTATTTTTTTTCGTTAAGTGCTATACAGTTCTAACCAAAACCTAATTTTGTTTCGTGGTATAAAAATTTAGAACGTGGAATTTTTATTTTGCATATTTTTACGTATTTTGCATTTCTTGTGGAAAATGCATTTTATTGAATTTTTAAGCTCATTTTTACAAATATTTTGTGTATTTAAAATAAAATATTTGTTTATTTTAAGTTTTTAGTACCTTTATAAAAAATAGTATCTACCTTTGAACATATATCGTCAACATACCTTAATATTATCGCTGTCATAGTGTCATACCCGTTTTCGATAAAATTATTGTCACCTGTCGGCGAATTGGGAAAATAGAATCTACATTAATAAAATAATATTAAAAATATTTTACAACTGGTAAATTTGTCGTCAAACTGAGTTGTCATCGAATTGGGATTCGGCAAAGTGGGTATGAACCGAAAAATTAATATAATTAATTGTCGATTTATCCGATAAGATTAAGAGGATCCGCATGTGTTGTCTCCGTTTTATAAGAATGTAACATTTCAAATGTTACGTTCAGCAGATCACGTTTGACTCAGTTAGCTTAAAAATTAGAGTGAATTGACCTTTTATTAAGATTAAAGGTAAGAGTATTACGGAGGGCTTCTTCTGGGTTTTTAATTTAATTTTAATTTTAAAGAGAGTTATGAGTATTTTAAGTTGTACCTACAAACAATTTACAATTTTTAAATACCCATAACTCTCTTTAAAGTTAAAATATAATAAAAACCTACACAAAGCCCTCCGTAAGATTCTTACTTTTAACTTTAATAAGTGGTCAATTCACTCTAATTTTTAAGCTAACTGAGCTAAACGCGATTTGCTGAACGTACAATTTGGTATGTTACGTACTTGTAAGACGGAGACGACGCTTGTGAGTGTAACGTCCTCTTAAATATCGAGCTAACCCAAAACTACATACGTATACAATACGAGCTTTAGGAGTCAACACGATACACTCACAAGTAAACTCAAATTTGAATATATTTGTTTAATGTACCTCTTAAAACGAATTTTCATCTTTTTTGTGTAATATAAAAAATGAGTAAATAATAACCAATAATTTATAATAATATTTATTTTTAAATACAATTTTTTTCGCTCATCTAAGAACATTTTTTGGGGGCAGTTTTGAATTTTTTTTTTAGTGCATTTTTGTGTATTTTTTAGGACATTAAAATCCTAGCTCTACTTATTATTTAATAATATATAATATTTTAAGCTATGGGTTACTGGAATATTACTCAACCATATATACTATCTCAAATGATAAACTTAGAAAATATTTTAAATATTTTATTTAAATATTCTATTATATAATAATAAAAATAGTTACTAAGACGGTCTGTGTTTGTTATGCTTGTATTAATATACCTGTTTCAAATTTGATCACTATAAAATGTATTATCGCTGTAGATATTAGTGCAAATAATACGGCAATAATTAGGTACTTTTGTTTAAATACAAATACGAAGCTAATAAAAGTATATATTAGGGGAATAAATTCAACTGTGTGATTTCCAAATGCAACACTCACATTAACTTCACATAGTGAAAAAGTTACCCTTGCAGTATGATAAAATAAATAATAATATTAACCACATAAAACTTGTAACAAATAAATTTAAAAATAAAATTTAAATTTGCATTTAAAAATGTAACAGATTTCTTAGAACTTATGACCATGAGAGTATAGAGTATTTTTAATAGAACCCATAATTATTTATGGTATTTCTGTACTTGGAGCTAATTATGAAACAAGTATAGATACAATAAAAAAAAATACTAAAAATTATTCAAAAAAAAAAAGACTCAAGATACCACACAAAATGAACTAGCTAACAGTAAACAAATGATTTTATAAAGATTTAGTACTTATCATAATTAAAAATATTCTTACTCTTAAAACTGAACACATTACTAGACAATTATTTATAATACAAATTACCAACTATGCACACAAAAAAATTAAACACAATTCGCATTCCACATAGGTACTCATATATTAGTCCAAAAAAATACAGAATGTTGTCATAAGAAATTAAACAAAGCAACTCTTTTGAGATTCTTAAAAAAATTACATTTTGGCTGCTACAAGAACAAAATGTAGATGGACTTAAAAGCTTTATATCATGCATAAATATACACATTATTATTATTAAAAATATTAACTAGGTTAAGTAAACATGTATGTAATGTGTAACAATATAAAGTTATTAAATCTTAGTTAGTAAGTTTTATCAGATGTAGCAAAATAGAAACTAGGTTCTCGATTACTACCAGATACCAGTGGTTATAGTTGCGTATAATGTTAATGTTCGTTTATTATTGTGAACATCCAAAGTATTCGCACATACAAAAAAGTGTCACTAACTCGTAACTTGTTACTTGCCTGTTTGATGTGTGTGTGTGCACGTACTGAGTTTTTAAAGTTACTTGAGTGCTTTCAGTTGTGGTACATCAAACTTAGAAAAGCGTGTGAGTATGTGTGTTTATATATACATAATAATTTGTACAACATGTAAAATGTAATAGTTTAAACATTTTATTTTCTCTTCATGGTAAGATAAAGAAAAAACAATTTTCTTTTGCAATATCGTAATTTTTATAAAAAGCATTGTTTATTTTACATTTTTAAAACAAAAAATCTTAAAAAATTATTCTGTATTTAAGAAGAATTTTAATTTTGAATTACAGTCAGTGTGCTTCATTAGATTTACATATTCCATTCAATAACAGCCAAGGAAAAATACAATGATTTAAGAACATGTGAATCGAAGTAGTTTTAAATATGCGTTTTCATAAATTCTTTAAGGCTATTGGTGAATTGAACGAAGTTTAAAGTTGAGTTTTGAATCAAAGTAACGCCTTGATCATTAATTACATTTAATCAAGGAACTTAATTGTTTTTTTTTTAATTGTATTTTATTTTAAAAGAGAAAGGAATAGTATTTGTATGTATTTATTTCGATTTTCAAAATATACCTTTTTCATTATAGCACTTATGGAAATTTAAATTATTTTTACTATTTACAAAACTCGTCAGACCAAGTACGCCCACAGATATAGCTATTCTGAATGTACATGGTATGTACGCACGGGTGTGTTCAAGCATTACACCGCATAGTAATACACCGTATCCAGAAAAAATTGCTGGGTTGTTGGCAGAAGAATTTGTGGTTATTGTAACCCCCAAAGATCATATGTGCATGAAATGTTCCTCACTTTTGAATAATTTTGACATGAGTGAATATATTGCAAAACTCTTCAAAAATGCGATGGTATCAAATATACAAAAGAATTATGGAATATTGCCTCCTGATCAGGTTGTTAAGGGTCAGTGTTGAGACTTATCTAGATAAAAATATTAATTATCTATTATCTTATCTAGATAAAAATCTAAGTGTTATCTATTTATTTATCTTAGATAAAAATGTCAGTCATCTGCTAAAATTTATCTAGATATTTTATGTTGAAGAAATTATTTTTAAATTATTTTTATTTTTGTTCCTGATAATTACTTATTACCATATTGTACTATTTTCGATCGCGTCAACGCGATTTATATTTTATTATTAATAATATTGTGATTCTATTAATAATTTTGTTTACCACGAGTTTTACCAAGAGTGCTTTCAGACGATACAATTTTTCCCCTCTAGTTGCCGGACACAGTCTGAGCCACTAAGATTACAAGAACAACAAATACGGAAACAATAATATTTCTATTAGTAACAATGGACATAATGTTAGAGTATATTATATTAATATATTATCCAATATAAAATATGTTCATAATAATATAGTCTAATCACATAATATAAATAAAATATTATTTTTATAAACGCAGACGTCCGGCAACAAGCATGTCAGGTCGATACTCGGAAAGGCCCAAACTCTGACTTGAATTCCGTAGAAATTATTAACTATAAATAATTATTATTACAATGAAAATAAATCCCTTGATTATGTACAGCCTATGGGTGCAACGAATTATACGTCAGTATAAGTAGTATTAGTATAACATGCACGTTGCTCCACGTGGAGCTATATTTGTTTTCGCGTTTTTAATAAACACACACTTTTCTGGTATCAGACCAATAATCACGAACTACTACATAGGACTGGACTCTTATGGCAGGAGGAGGGAGGGACACCGGTCACAAAGTTGTACGGTTACGTACGTTTGCGACTGTGATGCTATCTAGTGATGTACTAAATTACTACATTTCGTATTTAACTTTTATGAACAAATTATATTATAATATTTATAAATAGACTGATAAAAAATAAAAATATTAACATAAATATATTTCGTCCCCCCGTGCCCCCCTCCAATTTAATCACTGGTAATGAGTCTGTTGTATCTTATTTATATTGTTTTACATCAAATTATTTAATATGGGTCGCATATGTTCTGTATTAATATGTGACAGTAGAGTAAATAAAAGTAATAATGAAAATGCTACTTTATTTTCTATACCTAAGGATGAATCTATCCGTAAATCGTGGACAAATATTGTTAACGATTGGAATGGTAATAACCAAAATGTTTCATATTTATGTCATAAACATTTTCGTGATGAGGAAATTATTAAAACATTTGAAGGACAAAGTAGCAATAGTAACCAGGTAAATAAGTAAATTATAACAGAAATCTTCAAATTTAGAAAATTCTTAGTTTTGTTGATTAATTAGATTAATCAATACTAACTTAATCATATACAATAAACATACTTTAATTTAAACGTATTTGGTTTTTGATTATTTGACTATTTATTGCTTAGCCTTGGGCAACCCGGAGTAAATTTGTTTTAAAAAGTGGTGCTATACCATCAATTCACACATTAAATACACCCAAATGTCGAAAGGCTTTAGATATGACCTCAATAAATATTATAAGGTAATATATACAACCATTATATTTTGTACTAAAAACTACAAATTAATGTTCAAAGATAATTTTTCTCTAAAACCTTTAATCATTTTTTAATAGTACTAGTTTATATGAAAATGGAATTGAACCTTTACATCCAACAAACGAATTAAGATTAAATAATTTTGTATGTACCTTTATAATATAACTGTTGTTGCAAGTTTAAGGATTTTACTTTTTAGAACACTAAAGACATTTTTAATTTACAGATAATGTCATTTACTGATTTAATTAATATATATGACAATATTATCTTACCAAAAGGTTGGGTATCTGTAATGGATAGAGAAACAATTGCATTTTGCTGTTTAAAATCAATTATTGAAGAAAAGAAAATGACAATTAAAAAGCAAATATGTTTTAATGAGAATCATGAAATTTCATATCATGTTGATAATAAAGTTTTAAATAATAATAAACATTGCTATACATTAGCATTTAAAACAATGGAAAAGCTACATATAGAAAATGTTTTAATGGATTTTGATAAAAAACAAATCTGTAATGGAGTACCACTTTCACTTTACCCAGGTAAGTAAAAAAATTAAACAAAAATTAGTTTATTGAATGGTTATTTATAGTTATTTTCTCAGGTATTCAGGTGAAACATGGTAATGTTGATTTTAATGGTATTTGGTATCATCAAAATTGCAGTATTTTTGTAAATAATAAAAAAAGTAAATGTGAATGGTGTGAAAGGTTGCAAAATATATTAAGAGCTAAAAAAAGTTATAAGGAATTATGTTTGAGAAGGCAAAGTAAAAAACAATTATATTCATCGCTTACACCTTTGAGTAAAAAGACATTGCTAAGTATAAATAAAAAAAGGATGCAACTTAGAAAAGCAAATAATAGGTATCAGTTTAATTATTTTTTGTTAATGATCAATTAACTATTTATGAACTTTAGCTTAAGGTCTGTTGTACAAAAATTACAACTTCAATTTAGTTCATTAAAAGAAAAAATGAGCACTAATTCTTTCAATATTGACAATGTTAATGTTAATGAATCACAAAAAGCAGTCATAAATGAAATTATTGCATCAAGTAAAATAAAAAATCATAAAGGTCATAGATATTCAGAGAATTGGTTACTTATGTGCATACTTTTAAACATAAGGTATACAATTATTATCATAGTAATAATTCATCTAGACACAACAATATTATAGGTAGTATAAAGACAAAACTATCATATATTTTCTAGATCACCTAGTACTTACAGATTTTTACATGAGCAAGAAGTACTCCCACTTCCTAGTGTTAAAACAATTCACCGTTATTTATCTTTAAGCAAAACTGGTTGTGGATTTGACACAAAGTTTTTTATGCTTCTGGAAAAGAAATTAACATCAATGAATGATCGAGAAAAGCATGGCATTTTAGTATTTGATGAGATTTTTTTAAGAGAAAGTGTTGAAGTGAATACAAATTCTCTTACTTATTCAGGTCTAGTAGACTTTGGTGGAGATAATATAGACACTCATAATTCTGGAGAAAAAGCTGATCATGGATTGGTTTTTTTGTTCCAAAGTTTAGGTTGTAGTTTTTCACAACCAATAGGTGTATTTGTATCCAAAGGAAATGTTAAAGGTTATTATTTCAATAACAATTATTTATGTTTACAAATTAGCTTTTACTTTTTTACTGTTACATTAATTCATAGGTACTGTATTAGCCCAACTGATTATTAAAGCAGTTATGCTGTTAGAGAACGTAGGTGCAAAAGTAGACGGTATGGTATGTGACGGGGCAGCGACCAACAGAAAGCTATGGTCGGAATTTGGAGTCAGTGGTCAAATAAATAATGTAAATAATTATTTTACACATCCATCTGACAACAAACGAAAAATATATGTCCTGTCCGATGCACCCCATCTTCTAAAATGTGTACGAAAAGCATTTATTAAATAAAAATCTATTAATCCAAAATGGGTTGATAAAATATTAGAATCCAGATAACTTAAATATAAAAATATAATAACTTTTTATTCACATAAGATTGGTACAGATAGTGATTCGGTAGTAAGCTGGTACAATTACATTGATGTTCATCAAATTGACAAGCAACAACTTGCCAACAAACGTGTCTGTCCTAAAATTACTGATCGGCACTTATATCTGGATACATTATCTAAGATGTCTGTAAAGTTGGCCACACAGGTATTAAAAATACAAATAGATTAAAATGAATCACAGGTTGTACACAAAATTGTTAAATTAGGTTTTTAGTGAATCCATGGAAAAAGGGATTAAATATTATAGAGAAATTGAAAAAATTCCAAGTCTCCAAAACAGTCAAGAAACCGAGAATTTCACAAGTATTTTTAATCAATGTTTTGATGCTTTAAATAGAAAATTTCCAGCTGAAGGAATAAAAAAGGATAGCAATGATTTTAAGGTGTTATTAATTTATATGAACTTATACAATATTTCATATTTATTTCAATTGTATAAATTTGTTTCATTTATTTTAATAGATTCTAGAAAATACATTAGATTGGCTTAATATTTGGGAGCAAAATTTAATTAACAAAAAAATTACAAAAGATCAATATTTAACTACGACAACAGCAGATGGTCTTAGAGTTACAATACAATCAACTATTGATCTATCAATGTATTTATTAAATAATTGTAATTTTTCATATGTGCTTACTAATAAATGTAATCAGGACAAAATTGAGGTAAGTTATGTACAATAGTCAATATCCAAGTGGCAAGTATAATACCTACATTTAGAAAGTGATATTTTTTATTTTAGCAATTTTTTGGAACCGTCCGCCAGGCTACTGGCCCCAATGATCATCCCTCTTGTCCAACGTTCCTACAAGTATATCATATGCTTTCAACTTATTCTATTCTCAAACCTCCTAAGACTGGGAACTGTACAATATTGAAAACCTCAGACTCACCCAAAATAACTATATCTGATCTCAATGACATTTTTGCTTCTAAAGAATCTATACGTGAAGATAAAATTAAACATCTAAAAAGTCGATTGGATTCTTTAATAAAAGAAGAACGTTGGGAAGTAGATGACATTTTTGCTGAACATAACTATCATATAGCATCAACAAGAGACTCAATTACATATTATATATGTGGTTATTTACTTCGACAAATTATAAAACGAACTACTTGTGATATTTGTTTATCAGCATTTAAAGAAGGTAAAAATAATAACTATTAAAAAACAATGAAAACTTACTGATTTGTATTTTAGGGGACAGATCAATACCTGAGGCATCAATAACCAATATAAAATCAAGAGGAGGATTAATTTTTCCCAATAGGAAAATATTTGAGATTATAATAGGTTTAGAGGAGGCATTTGAGCAATTTTGTGATAGCTATGACGTTTTTCAAGAAACTGTTGATTTTTTCATAGAAAACAACCAACATTTGCTTGCATTTCCATGTACCAATCACAAAAATGAAATTTTTTTATTTATAATTACCTATTATGTTACTATGCGAATGAGACAATATTCACGTATATCCAACCAAAAGCAAGTAAAAAACCATGCAAAAAAAAAAAAACTTTCTAAATTGGTAGCAACGTAGGTAGTAATGTGCATTTATTACATAAATATTTACTACTTTATTAATTAAAATATAAAATATAATAAGTTTGAGTACTGATTTTAATTTTTGAATATGTGATGGTTATTCATTGTTCTGTTATCACTAGTCACTACGACTTATCACATAAAAGAATTTTCAACAGCACAGTATAAAAAAATCGCTACTAGACACTAGAGTGCAGTTACGTAGCGAACGTACGACCGCCGTACAACTCTGTAGCCACCTTATTATATACAGTGTCCAGTCCTATGTAGTAGTTCGTGGTTAAAGTCCACTACCGGACGTCGTTGCCGTTGTAGTGTGACACAGCTGATATGAAACAATGTGTTCACATTTACCGACGGCGTGACGGCAGCTCCGTGAAACCGTGACTCCCAACGGTTTCCAGGATCGCCGGACGGTCATCGACGGTGTAACCATGGCTTAAATATACAAGGTTATTGCAATAGTACCCCCACTATATCATTTTATCACGTTAAGGAATTAAAATGGCAGCGTAAGGGGACGACGTATACTGGCTATATTATGATATTATATGCTATGATATGGACCGTACCCTTACGCTGCCATTTTATTTTTATTTGATAACAATTTGGCTATGTGCAATAACCTTGTATATTTAAACCATGGGTGTAACCGTATAGTGTGACACTACACGTAAATAAGTATGCATTCTAGGCGAACGGTTAGACCGTACGGTTCTCGCCGTGCGGCGTAACCGTCGTAGTGTGACACCACCCTAAGGGGATTCGATACCGTGATTTAGTTATTTATATTTATTTATAGTATGTACGCGGCCGTAGGTACTAATAATATTATTAAATTATAATGTATATTTGGTTGAAAAGTGTTTTAAACATTCAAAAATCGTGTAGCAAATTAATAAATATACAAATAATTTTAAAAAAAATACAGAGTTATTACAAGCTACTTTATGCTCTCGTTCTGCCATGGTACAGCTCCTTGCTCACTATTGAAATACTTAGAGAAGTTTAGGCGTATTTCTTTTGATGATATAGGGATATTTCGCCCAGAAAGTTGTTGTAGAGGAAGTAACCTTTGATCTGATTTCCAGTCTGCGTTTAAGATCTCTCCTGTCGTTGTATCTTCAACATCAAAACCTCCTTGGTAGTATGACTCGACTTTTTTCATTCGTAAATAATTATGTAAATGAGTGCATGTTAGAACAATCAAAGTGGCTTTTTCTGGGCACAAATTAATTTCTTTCAATAATATTCGGAACCGGGAAGATAATATTCCGAATGCATTTTCCACAATACGTCTTGCGCGAGATAGTCTATAATTGAAAATAGCTTGTTCTGTAGTCAGGTTTTTTCTACTAAATGGTTTCATTAAGTTGTCCATAAGAGGAAATGCATCATCTCCTACCAAAACATATGGCTGTTTTATATCACTATTAGGCAAATTATCGGGCTGAGGAATGTATAGTTCGTTTTTTACAAGTCGCTTATAGAACTCGGTATTAGAAAACACTCCTGCGTCAGAGACTCTTCCGTTGGTTCCAACATCTACCATTATGAATTCGTAATTAGCATTCACTATAGCCATTAACACAATGCTGAATGATAGTTTGTAATTGAAATAATAGGAGCCTGTTCCTGGTGGTTTTCGGATGGTAATGTGTTTACCATCAATCGCACCAATGCAATGAGGAAAGTTCCACCTTTTCTCAAATTCTTTTGATATAGCCTTCCAATCATTTTCATTTGTTGGTACCTTCAATTACAAAATATTAATACCATTATATTATTATTTTAAATTTCAATACATATTTTTTGCTAGTATAATTTTTATTCAAATAATAACATTTTGAAATTATCAAAATAATTTTGATTCGAATAATAACTGAAAATTATCCGAATAATTTTTTATTCGAATACATATTTATTCGAATAATTATCTAAATAAAATTTTGCCCAACTCTGCATATACGTTTATTTTTGTTTTTAATAATTAATACTTTGATTAAGGACATATTATGTTTAATGATATTTAATTTTTTCAGATAATACCACACAATTCACCGAAGAAAAAATTCACACCCAAAAGAAAGGCACCCACAGATGAAGAAACTAAAAGAACTAAACTATTGGATATGGCTTGTCAACGTCTTCAAAAACCCACCTCTGATTCACAAATCCTGGCCAAGGCGTGGGGCATAGAGTTCGACAAAATGAAAGCAGACCAGCAATTGTACGCAAAAAAATTCATTGACGACATTATTTATGAAGGACGACTTGGCAATCTCCATAGAAACTCTATTATTATAAATCATTCACCTGCACCAATCAGAATACATCCAAAAGGTCATATTCAGCATCCATACTATTATAGTCCATCTTCACTGTCTTCACATTATTCAGGACCACCCTCTCCATACTTACAATCATTTACACCAAGTCCACAACAACAACCACATACATTGCAACATTCAACAGTTCCAGTCGGGCGCACGTAAACTCCGCCACAAGTACCTTTTTTTACTGTAAACTCCGCCAGAAAAAAAAAACAGGTAAAATTGGGTTCATGTAAACTCCGCCACTGAAAAACATCAGGTAAAATTGAGTTTATGTAAACTCCGCCAGTGAAGAAAANTTTTTATAATAAATTACCCAACATCTATCTTAATCTTATATTAATAAATATTTATTTTTATAGTTCAAACATCCATCAATACTTTCAAAAGTTGAAGAGAGTAAAAGATTGTATAAAAAACCTAAACAAAATATTGAGTCTGTATAAACTCCTAAACAAATGAAATTGCCTTCATTTAAAAGCAGTATGACAAAAAATCATGTAAGTTAAATTTACTTATTGTATGGGTATATAGTATATTATACAAAGTCATTTAGTGTTTAATATAATATGTATGTATAATAATATGTAATATACTAATATGTATAATATAATATATTTATATTATATCATCTGTGAGCATTAGTATAGTAAAAACATCAAAACTAATTATTCTGTCTGGCATAAAAATTAAATCTACTACTGTTTCATAAGATTGATTTTCTTAATAATTGGCAGTTGGCAGTAAAAATTCTCATTTTTATTTTTGTTGTAATTTTTTAAGCATATTTTACAACCTATTTAATAGATAATATTTAATAACTATTGGCTTTAGTAATAAGCTTTATTATTAATTTACTATGAGAAAATAAAATTCATAAACTGTTATTAATTAATTGTTATACTGGAAAATGTCTTACATATTGAATAAAAATTATACATATTACCAGAGCTAGGATTTATATGCGAATAAAAACAAGGAAATATGCGTTTTTTTTCTTGAAATATGCAAAAATATGCATTTTATATTTTTATTGAGAGGTTCCTACTTCCTACACACAAAACAATTGTTACAAAAAAAATATTTATTTTTTGCGATAAATCAGTGATTGGTTAATTTTCATATAATATAATATAATTTAGATTAAAAATTATTTATTAATAAATCGCATGCATAGATATTTATTAATTATTGTATATTACTAAATTTAGATGTTATATATACTTAGATAAATTGAATAATTACCGGCTAAAATACAATAAATTCAATCATACTAAATATGCAAAAACATGCAAAATAAAAATAGTATCATTTTCATAAGAATAATATAAATCGTGGACATTACTCACTAAAACTCCATTTGGACGTAGCAAAAAAAAACATGCTGTTGCATATTTTATCCTAGCCCTGTATATTACCTACTGTATTCTATTTTAATTATTATTTTGTATTTTATAGACTATAGTGTGATATTATTGTAACTTGCCTACCTACATTAATGAATAAATAAATTAAGCAAATAATTAATGTTTTCTTTCAGATTTGTCAGTTAGTCTTCAACTATATTGTTGAAGAAATGCGACCTTTAATCACCTGTGAAAAACCAGCCTTTCATCGGCTCATTAAAGAACTAACAGGAATTACTGACACAGCTTTACTTCCAAACCGTAAAACTATATCTAAAGAGTTAAAACTGAAGTATAATAATTATGTATCTACATTAACTAGTTTAATTGATAAACAAGATTATATATGTAACACTGCTGATATATGGAGAGCAAATAATAAGAGTTTTATGGGGATGACTAGCCACTTTATTGATAGTAAAACCTATAAACGGTATTCATATGTATTAGGTTGCAGAAGAATAAAAGGTAGTCATAACTTTTTAAACATTGCTGAAGTCATAAATGAAATCTCTGAAACTTACCGAATAAACAATTCCAAAATTACTCACATTATTACAGATAATGCTAGTAATTTTGGTAAAGCTTTTCGCACTTTTTCTAATGTTTCTACTAGTGGATCTGATTCTTATAATGCAGGTGACTTTAATTCTGAATTAGAAATTGATAGTGATATTTCAAATAGTGACTGTGAAAATAATACTAACGTTGAGTACACTAATGTAGGTGATTTGCTTTCGGAATCAAATAATTTAAGTAATCCTGACTCTGATTATAACAATATTTGTTTGCCCAATCATCTAACTTGTTGCGCTCATACACTAAATCTGATAGCTACAACAGATATTGGAAAAATTGACGATAAAAATTATTTAAAAATATCTAAAATTACTTTTAATAAATTAAATTCCTTTTGGAATCTTCTTAGTAGAAGTACCGTGGCATCGGACAAGGTTTATGATTATTGTAATGTTAAATTTCCAGTCCCAATAATCACTAGATGGAACTCTATGTTTGATGCAATTAAAAAAATATTAGCTTTTAAAGAAAAACTTATTGTTATATTTGAAGAGTTAAAATTAATTAAATTAAAAATTGCAGAATGGACATTCTTAGAAGAATATTTTAAAATATTGCAGCCATTAGCAGTTGCGTTAGATAAATTGCAGGGTGAAAAACGCAGCTTTCTGGGATATGTTGCTCCGACTATAATTGTTTTAAGGCGTTTATTAATTCAATCTACACACTTGATTTACTGTAAGCCTTTAAGTTTATGTTTGATTGTCAGTCTTGAAAAAAGGTTTGATTATTTGTTTAACTTGAGTTCTCCTAAGAGCAAAGATTTTATTTTAGCTGCTATGAGTCATCCAAAATTTAAAAGTAGTTGGATTCCTGTTAGATATGTTGACTTATGCAAACAATTATTTATAAATGAATGTAAATTAATGAATTCTAATTCTGATTTTACAGAATACGTTTCTTCTTCCGATAATAGTGATAGCAATAGTGATACTGAATTCTATAGAAGTGTTTGTTCACAAGATGATTCCAGCAACCCAGAGTTAGCTGTTAGAAATTCCAATCTAACTAGAGTTCAAGCTTTATCTTTTTTAAACTCAAAAAAAAAAGAACTAAATATCTTGGATTCATTTCCTGTAGTTAAAAAATTATTTTTTAAATTTAATACTTCAATACCGTCTTCTGCACCTGTTGAAAGGTTATTCAGTGGGGCAATTCAGGTGTTAACTCCAAGGTGTAATCGACTTGAAGATAAAAATTTTGAGATGCTTCTTTGCTGCAAATGTTTAATGCAACAAGAATAGTTATAAAGGGTATTTTTGTAATATTTGTATATTGTTTGATTGAAAGTAATGACCTAAAAGAAACCTTTTAATTTAAATAGATAAAGTACTTTAAAAAGTACCTATTGAAATGTTCCTTCATATTAGGTATATTGTGTATTATTATTAGGACAATTAACTGTCCATTTATTATTTTTAAGTAAACTGTAATTGGCTTTAAAGTATGCTGTATAGAAAATAAGAAACTTGTAAGAAAAACAATATACATAATTAATTATTTTATGTTTTTATGATTATTAATTTGAGCAATAAAAGTTATATATCAATATATATATTTTTTTTTTGTGCATCTTTTATTGTCTTGTTAATAGAGATCAAACAGAGTTAAAATTGAATATAAACAATTTTAGTTATAAAATTAAAAACTTTTATGAGATTCAAAAATAAAGATATTGGATAGCAAAATGTACCTATGTTTTTTTTTTATTCTAAACAAAAAAATAATTTTTAAATTTTAGAAGCTACACTACAATTAGGCGTTTGCCTTAAACAAATGCTATACATGTTTTATATGTGATAAGTCTGTTAAATTTTACTAGACTTCTAGTACAATTTTAATATGAAATAGTTGTTATTTAAAAATTTATCTGCTTTTTATCTAGATAAATTATGTTTATCTTTTATCTATTAAATAGATAATTTTGGATTTGTTCATTTTTATCTTTATCTAAATAGATTTGAAGTTTTTTATCTTTATCTTTATCTAGATAAAAAAAGTATTTATCTGGGCTCAACACTGTTAAGGGTGTTGAGGTAGGTATCCCGTCATTTCGTCGCGGTCAATTGGTCGCAAGACAATTGGACGCATACGGCATTTCGTCGCGCGTAATATTGACGCATGCTACATTTGTACGCCCGTCATTTTATCGCATATATTTATATAGGTATATAGCTAGTATTAGATAAAATAGATTATCTTGTCTTTTTGGGTAGGAACATTTAATAATATAATATATATATAATAATTCTAAAGTATCTTTATAATTTAGTGGTAGTGGTGAAGTACCTTCTTTATCATTTATTTTTATTTCAGTAGGAAATTCATTATTTGGTTTTTACGTGAGTCTTTATCGAATATTCGAATTATTACAGTGTACCTACTCATCAGTCATCACGAGTCTCTACTCTCTATCGATTATAGTGTTATACAGTACCACCTATACACGTCTACGCATATATACGTCTTGCTTGATCCACGCAATATAACAATTATTATATATTTTACAAAATATAAAAATTATGCCTTTACAATTTATAAAAAGTCAACGAGGGCATGATCTTTTAATTCATGATGGTTTTATTCATAAATGTGAAAGAACTATTGGCGAAAAAGTTATTTGGAGATGTAACGAGTCTAAAAATTGTACTGGCCGCGCTCAACAATACGAGGTAAAATTTTTAATTTCTCAGTGTAGGTATTCTAATATATTATTTATTATATACCTATTTATTAAATAGATAGCGTCATAAAATACAAGGAACATAACCATGTACAAAATAGGGCAAAAATTGAAGTAAAAAAAACTATCAATAAAATGAAAAAAAATGCCATCACTACAATATTATGCCTACCCGAAGTTTATTAGCAGAGACATCTTCAAAGGTAATTAAATATTATAGTTTTAATATAGTTTAGAGGACTCAACACCTGCGATTTTTCTTATCGTTATACCTATAGGTAATCACGATATTTGTTTAAAAATATGTAAAAATAAACTGGCTTTTTATAGTAATTTTAAAATTAAAAATATTTTTTTACTATTTTAAAATCACTAATTTTTTTCGAACATAGTATTCCAAAAAACTTACAACTTTAATACTTTAAATATATAACAGTTTAACAGTTTTATTAAATTGTTTTGTGCGAGTAGTTTCATCGCTAATCTTTTATTGTTTGTTTTCGTATTTTCCACGTTATCAATCGAGACGATACTAAATATTTCAATAATTTTGATTGTAGGCTATTTATATTATAAATATTATAATACATTATCATATTATTTTAGTTACCATCCGAAGTGGCAGGTCAAATGACGAATCCAAAATGTTTAAAAAGAACAATTCAACGGGTTAGGAATATTTCTGAAGCCGTTCCTGCAAATCCTCAAACATTACATTTTGAAATTCCTGATCAATTCAGATTAACTTTAGACGGAGACAATTTTTTGTTGTACGACAGTGGTGATAGTGGCATATATGAAGACAGGATTATATTATTTTCGACTGAGAGAAATTTAAATTTATTAAAAGATTCAGAACATTGGTTTTCAGATGGAACATTTTCATCCTATCCGAATTTATTTTACCAATTTTATACCATTCATTCAGTATTTCTTAGTGATATTATACCTTTAGTATACGTTTTATTACCGGACAAAAAAGAAATAACATATATAAAATTATTTCAAGCATTAAAATCATTGAAACCTGATTTATGTCCAAAATCTTTTATGGTAGACTTTGAAAAAGCAGTGATGATTGCAATTAAAAACGAATTTCCCTATACGAAGATTCACGGATGTTTTTTCACTTAAGTCAAGCGGTTTGGAGACAAATACAACACCATGGTCTTGCAAAACAATATAGTGACGATGTACAATATTCTTTAGAAGTATAAAAATTACCTGCACTTGCATTTGTACCCGTCGATAAAGTGATAGAATCTTTAGAATTATTATTAAAAAGCACATATTATATCGAAAATGAAGAAATGTTATCACTAGGGCTAGGATTTTAATGACCCAAAAAACCTAAAAAAAATGACATTAAAATAACCTAAAAATGACCTTAAAAAATGCCCAAAAGATAAAAAATGTTATCAAAATGCATTATAATTATTAATTAATATTTCGGTAAAAAATTATTTAAATTATAATATTATAAAAAAATAGCAAAAAAAAATGTTAATTTAGGATTTTCTTGATATGAATAATAAAGTTTGAAGTTTGGACTTATCATGCAACGGCCAGCTTAAAATTTTCTGAAAAAAACAACAAAAATACTATAAAATAAAAAATATATACGTATATTTTTTTTATTCTGAAAATTACATTTAAATTGTATTGTTGCATTCGACAATCAGTATAGCTCCTTCAAATTTTCAAATACAAATGACCGCCGATTATCTGCTAGCAATGTTTTGTAGCATGAAAAACTTTCATAGTATCGAAGTTTATTGTTGTAATATATAAGTGNTAAATTATCGATACCTGCTGCATGAACTTTATTTAAATTATTTTTTTGGTGACCACGATGACGAGTACTGCACAAAAGATAATTAAACGAGGTCCAAACAGGTTTTACGCAATACTACTCTAAAGTTACTTTACTCTCTAACAACTTACCACGATATCGAGTACTGGATGTTTGAGAGTGAGATATCTTTAACCTAGGCAAAGTCTTACTCTTTCTCGACTGACCAAGATAACGAGTACTGGACGAGAAAGTAAGTATTACAGTGTCTTACTATCTTTTTCAAAAGTGTTTTCCACCACCAACGTCTCTTTACACACAAGATAAAATACTCTAAAATAGTCGTAAATAAAAACAGTAACACTTGGTTAAAAGAATTAAATATAATAATATTAAAGAATATCAAAAAACAAATAATAAAAAGAAACGTCAAATACTGCTTGTTAGCAACGACAATTAGTGAACCAAAAACTGAATAGCTCCGCTTCCGTCGCAGACGTCGCCTTATGTAGGGGTAGCAATTTTGCTGATTCGGCTTGATTAAATTTTGCATCATTGTTTTGATTTTTTATAATTTTGTTATGTATATGTACAACAACTGAAAAGAGTGAGCAACACCCGCGTTACTCAGCAGAGCAATCTTTAAGTCTTACAACAGACCCTCATATAGATTTCTAATCAGACTCTCTCATAATATCAGTGTTAACATATTCATTATATAAATTATATATATTATATTCGTTGTATAAAATTATATACATTATATTCATTTCTTTAGTGTTTAATAAAAATAAATTAAATAAAAAACTAATTTAATTAATTAATTTAAATCAGTAATAGTAGTATAAAATGGACAGTTCAGATGCCTCAACCCTCAACCCTCAACCTCAACCGCCGCCGCCCGATCGCTTACGTGTGTGACGTATATTTACCCCCACTACCGACGCCGCCGCCCGATCGCTTACGTGTGTGACGTATATTTACTCCCACTACCGACGCCGCCGCCGGAACGTAACTAACATATATTACTATCTATACAACATCTGATGTGTTATCAGATACGTTATCATCTCATTATCAAGTTATCACTATCGTATTATTGTACACTTCTATATCTTTTCGCGCATGCACACGGGAAAACGTATGCACGCACGCGAAACATATCACACACGTAACCAACGTATTATCATTTTATCGTAATCAGCGATTTATCAGTTATCGTAATCAACTTATTATCATTAATATTTATAAATATATCGTTCGTATAATGGTTAAATACTAATTCTCAATGTGGCTGTGGCATATGTTCACATTCCTTAGTATGTTAACAACTATTTTTGTATGGCTTCATCGAGTGAGGAATATATGTTTAGAAATATACATTGACTCAAATCCATTGTTTTCATAACGTGCTGGTAGGGACAATCATCGTCAATTGTTGTAGTAGCGTCCTGTACCGACCCGTTCGCGGGTAGGCTACCATGCGTGGGTAGTCTGATGATGACAACACATATATNATATTTTGAAGGCACGTGGATTGGCATTTTGGATAGGAGAGGTAATCGTCGACCTCCACTATTTTCCATTGAAATCTGGAACTGTTATGATAGGTTACAAGAAAGTTTACCCAGGACTAACAATAAAATAGAGGGCTGGCATAATGGGTTTTCAGCAATGGTAAGTCATACACGACCAATTATTTGGAAATTTATTGAAACATTAAAAAAAAAAGAAAGTTTAAATAAAATGATAATATAACAAATAATTGCTGGGCATGTACCATGTAAAAAAAAAAATATAATGATTCATCTATTAGATTAATGCAGATTTGTAAAAATGTTAATGATAATCCATTATGCGAGGTTTTGAAAGGTATTGCTCATAATTTTAATTTTTATAAATAGTGTTGTGTGCGTAATCTCAAAGGATCCAAAAGCCGTAAGCTTTAGAGACAAATCAACAAGTAATAAATTGAACTGTAGAATTACGTTTATTTAGCAGAAAATATAGTAAGTGTATAATAGCGTGTGCGTGTGTGACGAGAAGTTGCTCAGGTCTCCGTGGCTATGATACATCTGCCCAGGCTGTTCCACGGGCTCCCTTATAAGTGATGGCGGCTCCTTTGATGTAGCGGCGCGTGCAGCTTGTATGTGTGCATGTTTCGGTTGTTGTTGCCAATTCTTAGAATAGCGACTCGTGTTCATGATTTCTAGTCGTGTACATATTCTATATTATATTGTTGCAATATTTATGTTAATTATATATATGGAGTTTATGACCGTAATAACATTATGATATATTATATTATATTATATACTATGTTATTATATAGTGAATAGTGGCGCCTAGAGTGTCAAGGCCCGCAACAATAGTAATATTTTTTTTATTTTTGTGTTTTTTTAAAATATTTTATTTAGATTATTATTATTATTTTTTTTTATTGAACATTATAGCTTCGACAGCATAGGCCATTAGCTTTTAAGATTTATACTAATACATATATATTTAGAAGTGAAAAAAAGATGTTTTTAGATTATTATTATTATTATTATTATTAGTTTGAGTTTTAAGCTGGTTACACACGGAGCGATTCGATCGCGCGCGTACGTGATTTTCAAATCGCGGCAAATATAAAAACGCGTACGCGTACGCTTACACACGAGCGTCAAAAATCGCGTCCCCACTAATTTCTCATACCCAATTTATTGGCGCCAAACTTAACAAAAGTCAAAATAATAGGTTATACAAATTGGAGCGAATCATTTGTCCCGAAAACGTGGTTGAGGAACACTTACAAAATTTTACCATAAATTTAAAGTGAATTTAAAGTTATTTAAAAGTGAATAGTGTACTTAATTTTTTCATTTAATCATGGAGTTAGACGACGTTGAGGCCGTAGCCGTAGCTTACGCTTTATATAAACGCCATCAAAAAGCAAAAAAGCAGAAAAGCTACAATAGGCGCTATTGGGTGCATCCAATTAACCTGAAGAGGCCTCAAGAAGGACAAT